TAATTTTGAAAAGCAAAGAGTAGCCGGGCATGGTGGCTCACGCCTGTAATTCCAGCACTTTGGTAGGCAGAGGTGAGAGGATTGCCTGAGTCAGAGATTCGAGACTAGACTAGGCAACTTGGCAAGACCTCGCCTCTACAATAAAAAAATTAGCCAGGTGTAGTGGCATGCACTTGTAGTTCCAGCTACGTGGAAGCTGAGGCAGAAGGATCACCTGAACCCAACAGGTTAAGGCTGTGGTGGCCATGAGAGTCCCACTACACTCTTGCCTGGGTGACAGAGTGAGACTCCTATTGGAAGGAAGGAACGAAGGAAGGAAGGAAGCAAGCCAAGGAAGGAAGGAAGGAAGGGAGAGAGGGAGGGAGGGAGGAAGGAAGCCAAGAGTAGGCAGAAAGGGAAAACAGAACAAACAACAGAGGAGACAAACAGAAAATGAATAGCAAAATGATAAGCTTAAATACAGTCTCGCACTGCATAATAATGTTTTAGTCAACTACAGTTGCATATGGGATGTGATGGTGTAGCCTAGCTGTGTAGTAGGCAAAATACCCTCTAGGTTTGTGTAAGTGCACTCTATGGTGCTTGCACAGTGACAGAATTGCCTCCTGAAGTATTTCTGAGAACATATCTCTGTGGTTAAGCAACACAGGACACCAACCTTATCAGATTAGATATTACATTAGATATAAGTGGTCTAAACACAACTATTTTTCTTTTTTTCTCTTTTTTGAGTTGGAGTCTCACTTTGGCCGTGCACAGGCACGGCCACCGCAGCCTCGACCTGCTGGGCTCAAGTGATTCTTCTGCCTCAGCCTTCCAAGTAGCCGGAACGACAGGCACATGCCACCACGACCAGCTAATGTTTTGATTTATTGTAGAGATGAAGTCTCGCCAAGTTGCCCAGGCTGGCCTCGAGCCCGTGGGTTCAGGCAATCCTCTCACCTCAGCCTCCCAAAGTGCTGGGATTATAGGTGTGAGCCACTGCGCCTGGCTTAAATACAGCTATTAAAACATAGAAATTTTAGGATTGGATTAAGAAAAATCAAAAAAGCCCCTTCTATATGCAATCTACAAAAAATTGACTTAAAATATAATGATGAAATTGGTAAAAAGAAAAGCATGAATGATGCTGATGAACATTGAAAACATGCTAAGTGAAATAGCGACAGAAAAGGACAAATAATTGTGAGATTCCACTTACATGAAGTACTTAGAATGGCCAAATTCCTTGAGACAGGATATAACAGAGATTAGTAGAGGCTAGGATAAGGGGAAATAAGAGGTTATCATTTAAAGGGTATAGAGTTTCTGTTTTGGATATTGAGAGTGTTCTGGAAATGGGTAATAGTGATAGCTGCACAACATGGTGAATGTACTTAACTGTACACTTAATTGTCACTGAATTGTACACTTAATAATGGACAAATGGGATTGGCTCAAGCCTGTAATCCCAGAATTTAAGGAGCCCAAGGTGAGAGGATTGCCTGACACCCAGGAGTCTGAGACCAGCCTGGGCAACATGGCAAGACTTTGTCTCTACAATACATCAAAAAATTAGCAAGGTATAGTGGCATGTGCCTGTGGTTCCAGCTACTCGAAAGACTGAGGCGGAAGAATTGCTTGAGCCCAGCAGGTTGAGGCTGCAGTAGCCGTGAATGGTTGACAGAGTGAGATTCTGACTCAAAAAAAAGGTAAATTTTATGTTACATATATTTTACCACATTAAAACTAGAAGGATGAAAAATGTCCCATGCAAACACTAATCAAAAGACAATTTAAGAGGCTCTTTTAGTTTCCTATTGCTCCTGTGACAAATTACCACAAACCTAGTAGCTTAAAACAACACAAATTGGGTAAAGTAGTGTGTGCCTGTTGGTCCAGCTACTTGGGAGGCTGAGGTGGGAGGATCGCTTGAGTCCAGTGGATTGAGGCCGTAGTGTGTAGATGATTGTGAATAACCACTGCACTACAGCCTGGCAAAACAGTGAGATCTTGCCTCTTAAATAAATAAATAAATCACACTCAAATTTATTATCTTACAATTGTGGAGGTACGAAGTCCAAAATCAATCTTACTGAGCAAAAATTAAGAATTGGAGGCTGGGCTCGGTGACTCAGCCTGTAATCCCAGCACTTTGGGAGGCCGAGGTGAGTGGATTGCCTGAGCCCGCAGCTTCAAGACCAGCCTGGAAAAGTTGGTGAGACCTCATCTCTACAATAAAATAAAAAATAGCCGGGCATGGTAGCACATGTCTGTAGTTCTGGTAACTCAGAAAGCTTGTGGCAGAAGGATCGCTTTAGCCCAGAAGGTCGACGCTGGAGTGGCCGTGAATGTGTATGCCACTGCACTCCAGCCTGGACGAAGGAGTGAGACTCCAACACACACACACACACACACACACACACACACACACACACACAAATTGGAGACATCCATGTATTTCATCTTAGTTCAGAACCTCAAGTCTAAAATACAATTGAGTTTTATATATTGGCTATGTATCCCAGTGATACTGAAAATTTTTTTTTTTTTCCGAGTTGGAATCTTGCCCAGGCAGTGGCATGCTCACGGCCACCCCAGTGTCAACCTGCTGGGCTCAAGTGATCCTTCCACCTCAGCCTTCCAAATAGCCAGAACTACAGGCATGCACTACCATGCCAGGCTAATTTTTTTATTTATTGTACAGACGAGGTCTCACCATACTGCCCAGGCTGGTCTTGAACCCGCTCAATCAGCCTCCCAAAGTGCTGGGATTACAGAATGAGCCACTGTGCTCAGCCCATTGCAGATTTTTAAACATGCTCTTATAAATTATAGAAAATTATCTTTTATTTGTAATGAGATGGAATTTTCATTATGAATTGGTCTATTTGATCAATTTGGTCTATTTGTTTGCATTAGGTGATATGATATTTTATGTAGTCTGTTAATGCATTTAATTATATTGATTGATTTTAAATTTTAAGCTTCTCTTGTCATCAAAAACAAAAAATAAACCACTGTGGTCATGATGTGTTATCCTTTTTATTTATCACTGACTCTTATTTGTGGGTATTTGTTTAAAGATTTGCATCCAAGTTCATGAGAGATTTTCCTGTGACTCTCCCATTTTGTAGTTTTCCCGTCAAGGCTTTGGTATCAATTTTTTCCTTGATAAAATGTGTTAGGGTGTATTTCCTCCTTTCTGTTCTCAGAGAAAGTTTATGTAAGTTTGAGTGTGTGTGTGTGTTTCATAAGTGCATTAGTGTTTGGAAGAAATCACCAACAAAGCTCCTGAACTGAAGTTTATGCTGTGGAGAATTTTTGATTACAGAGTCAATGCATTGTTAGATAGATAGATACATAGATAGATAAAATAAGATTTTCTTTTCTTCTTCTTTTTTTTCTTTTTGAGACAAGCTTTGTGGCCCAGGCTGGAGTATAGTGGCATAATCATAGCTCATTGCAGCCTTGACCTCCTGGGCTGAAGTGATCCTCCTGCCTCAGTCTCCCAAGAAGCTGAGGTTACAGGTGCGCACCACCATGCCTGGCTGATTTATTTTTGTAGAGATGAGGTTTTGCTATGTTGCCCAGGCTTGTCTTGAGCTCCTGGGCTCAAGCAATCCTCCCACCTTGGTCTCTCAAAGTACTGGGATTACAGGTGTCAGTCACCACACCTGGTCCATATTTTCTTTTTTTTTCTTATTTTCTGTTTATTCTTATTTCCATTTCATAAATTGTATATATGATGATTTTTTTCCCTTTGTCATTGTGGCTAGTATTTATAAATTTAATTAATGCTTTTAAGAATAAGATTTTTGGCATAATAATTTTTTTTTTTTTTTGAGTCTGACACCTAAGCTAGAGTGCAGTGGCACAATCATGGCTCACTGCAGCATGACCTTCTGGGTTCAGACAATCCTTCCACTTCAGCCTTTTGAGTAGCTGGGACTACAGGTGTACAATGCCTGCTCATTTTTAAATTTTTGTAGAGTTGAGTTCTTGTAGTGTTGCCTAGGCTGGAATTTTTTGCTATTTTTGGTCTTCAGTAGTAGCGATTCATTATTATTCCTTCATTTGGAATAAGTTACTGCCTTTCTAAACTCTTGATACAATCATTGCTTTGCTTAAAGCTTGTTTCCTACTATATTCATTCATGATTCTTAATTTTCTCACCATGCCGGGCTAATTTTCTTGATTTATTGTAGAGACGAGGTCTCGCCACGTTGCCCAGGCTGATCTCAAACCCCTGGACTCAGGCAATTCTCTCACCTCCGCCTCCCAAAGTGCTGGGATTACAGGTATAAGCCATCATGCCCGGATATTTTTTGAGTGGGAGTCTCACTCTGTCACCCAGGTTGAGTGCAGTGGCACACTCACGGCCACTGCAGCCTCCACCTACTGGGCTTAGGTGATCCTTCCATCTCAGCTTTCCAAGTAGCTAAAACTACAGGCGTGGGCTGCCACACTCAACTTATTTTTTGGTTTATTGTAGAGATGAGGTCTCACCAACTTGGCCAGGTTGGTCTCAACCCCCTGGGCTCAAGCAATTCTCTCACCTTGGTCTCCCAAAGTGCAGATTGAGCCACCATGCCTGGCTTTTTTTTTTTTTAAACACAGTTATCTTGTTATGTGGCTCAGGCTGAGGTGGGCAGGTCCCTTGAGTCCAGGAGTCTAAGGACTATAGTCATAGCTACCTATGGCCTTGAACTCCTTGACGCAAGAAGTTCTCTCGACTCGGCCTCCCAAAGTGCTGGGATTGCAGGCATGAGTCTTCACTTCTATTTTGTTTTCTCATTTAACTCATTGATTATTGAGACATATGTTGTTTTATTTCCAAAATGCAGAGATATTATTTGTCTTTGCAAAATCAAGTTAGGCCAAAAGTTCCTAGACTCTCTTCGTGGTCTTTGTTAGGGTCCCGATTGACTGAGTTCATTAGTTAGTGTCCACTGGGGGCAGCTTCTTTGCCTCCCATGGTCCCTGAGTCTCCCTCTGTTGAGTGTGGGGCCCTTCCTGGGCTAACGGGTGGCCAGAGTGGTGTACAAGCTGGGCTCAGATGGAGGGTCCCCTCCTTGGGACAAGAAAGGGTTAGGCATCTCCTGTCGGAGAGTTGAGCTGGACAACTGGGCGTAGATCACATCCTGAGGGGCTTCAGATGCTGCAACCTGTGGTGGGGGTGAGAGAGAGGAAAGGTTCGTGGTCGTGTAGGGGGAGGCCTGGGAATGCGGAGAGGAAGGGACCCACCTGACTGTCCCTCTGTCTGTCCTCTTCTGTTTGTGAGGCCACTCCCTGCCTGAGCCTGGAGAAGTTCACCTGGGCATATGTCACCCCCTGGGGGTCCTCATCATGTTGGCTCTGCTGAGAGAGTGACAGGAGGGTCTCTGAATCCACTGGACATCCCTCAGTTGAGCTCCCACATGTTCCCAGAGTCATCTGATTGTCTCATTTTCCCAGTGAACTCTGCAGGGACTTCTTAAGACTTTGGAGGGTCTGGCAGGGGCAGGGTCTCACCCGACTGTCCAGCTCCACCCCGTCCTCAGGCTGTGTGTCCTTTACCGCAACATCTGTGGGGGTGGGACATGGGATTCATCTCCTGGAAAGAGTCCCTGAGACCTCTCAGCCCCAGCCCGGCTCCAGATGAGGCCACGGAGACCCCAGAGCAGCTGTGATGTCCCTGAGGTCCCTCAGATGTGGGATTCAGAGCATCTTCCCTGGGCCCCAGACAATTCCCAACCTGTGCCCCTCATCCCATTTCTACTGTTACTTAGGGGTCCCCATATTCTTCCCCATTAAGGCCTCCCTCTCCTTCTCACAGAGGTGTTCTTCCTGAATGTCAGCAGCCAGGCTGGACCTGGGGGAGGACACAGGAGTGTAAGGGGCAGTGAGGGGACTGTGGGCGGGTGGGAGTCTGGGGTCTCTGGCAGGATCACCTCCTCTGCAGGCCTCGGTCCTCAGGCTCTGGCTTCGCAGCTCCCACAGGAAATTGGACATCAGCCTCTCTCTGGGCTGGTGAAGAAGGATAGGGTCTCAGCCCTGGGACATCAGAACCACCCATCCTGCACATGAACTCGAGAGGAGAGAGGGGGCCTTGAAACACTCCTGCTTAGATGCACCACATATTTAGTGAGACCACAAAAGCCAAAAGAATAAACTGCTTCAACGTATGCTAACATTTAAACATTTACTCTCTTCTTCTTTCTGGTTTTCTCACTGGGAAATTCTGGAGCAGTTTGTCTGGCTGACTTGGCCTCCTTTTGCTGGGGCCCTGAGCCCACCTGTGGTCAGCACATGGGTCCCCCATTCTCCACTCACTCTTGCGTTTGCCCTGACGCCGGTGTCGATGGAGGACGAAGAGGAGAAGGAAGAGGAGCAGGACGAAGGCCACCGAGACCCCAATCAGAATCTTCAGGTACCTTTTCAAACCTTGGGCACGATGATGTCAGGAAAAAGGAAGGATGATGTTTAATTGAGCACCAAATGTATGCAGGCTTGTGCTGGGTCTTTCATTCATTACCTTCCTCTTCAGAGGAATCATACAAAATGGGATCACCACCCCACTTTATTCATTTTCCCGATGAGAAACTCAGGGAGGTGAATCACCTGCCTCAGATCCCCCAGCCAGGAAGCAACAGACCTGGGAAGTGAACCCAAGAGTCTGACTCGCAGCCCCTGTTCTCTGCACTAGACTTGAGCCCCTAAGCTCAGAGCGAAAGAGCCTGAACACCTGGACCCTGGTCCTGCTCCCCCTCCCCCACACAGTGTTACTGTCACTGCTTCAGGTGGGACAGGCCCCTGCAGAATCGGGTTCTGGGAGGCTTCCCTGGGGCCCTCCTCTCCCAGGAGGTCACAGCTGGGGTAGAACCAAGAGGGACTTTGCCATCTGGGCAGGCCCCTCTCCTTTACACATGGAGAAACTGAGGCCCAGAGAGGGAGGGGCTTTCCCAAGTCACTGTCTCCAGAGGAGCCTGAACCGATGAAAAAACTCAGCCCTTGATTACTGTGAACCCCACCCCTCCCTCATACAGAGCCTCTCACTCACCCACCACTCTGTGGGCCTGACTCCATGGAGGCAAGGGGCTGATCCCCAGGGCCTCCTGTTCCCTGCTGTAGCCCGACAGCTCCTCCTCCAGCCTGGATCCTGATGTCTCCCTCTGTCTTGACCCCATGACCCCTCATCAGCCCAGCTGAGAGTCTATAGGACACAAGCCTGTCTGTGAGTATTTGAGTGGAAGTGAGATCTTCTGAGATACTCTAAACTTCCTGGGCAAGCCCGTGACCCTCTGAGCCAAGAGGCCTCAGTGACTCACCCGGTGTTGAGGTGGTTCCTGTGGGTGGGGGACTTTGGCTCCCAGAAGATCCTGGAACAAGGACAAGAGGAGGATCTGGGGCTGCCCTGGAGTCATCACGTCAAATCAGTCTTCTAGTACATGTATCCTGTGGTCTCCCCAAGCCCTCCCTCCACCCACCTGCCATCTTTTGGAAGCTGGAGATAGGGCCGAGGGGTCATGTCTGAGAAGGCCCTGTTGGTTTCCTCTCCTCCCTTTGTTCACCCTCCCTCAGAGACTCCTTCACTTTACACCAGCCCAGCGCTCTCCTTGGGGCAGGGACCTGAGATCACGCTCTGAACTCAGAGAGAACAGGTCAGGGTTCTCACCTGAGACCACCAGCTCCAGGAGGTTACTGGGGTGTGACAACAGGTAGGGGGAGGTACTGAGTGAGCTGTAGCACCTGTAGGTGCCCCCATGGGCTGAGGTCACAGGACTCATGGTGAACTCGCCCTGGTACTGCTGAGCTTGGATCTTTAAACTTTGACACCGGGGGGGACCGGCTGACCCCTCCTTGGACAGAAAGAAAGTGTCCAGTGGGTACCGTGACTGACACAGCAGGGTCACATTCTCTCCTGAGGTCACCGTGGGGCCCGGCTCCACCAAGAGGAAGGGTCTGTCAGAGAGCCATCCTAGAGAGAAGAGGAGGTTGAGGGGCTGCCCCACCTGGTTCTGAGCCAAGATCTCCCAAGACCCGCTCTCTGGGGACCCTCAATCTCTCGGTCTCCTGTTGTCTCTGAGTCTCTCCCCTCCCGCAGCCCCTCTCTCTGTCTCCCCCTCCCTTGAATTCCTCACTCTTCACCCCAACCATCACCACCCGGGGCTCCCCCAGCAGGGCTTGTGCAGAGTCTGGAGCCCTGACTCAAGCCGTTGGTCTCCTCACCTGAGATCAGGATGTCCAAGGGGTCGCTGGGGGCCGACCACTGGGAGGAGAGGTTTTGTCCACCATAGCATCTGTACTGACCCCCATGGGAGTCACTCACAGGGCCCAGGGGGAAGTCGGCCTGAGAGATCCCAGCCTGGGGCTGCCTGCCAGGGTGCTGGGTGAGGTATTGTTGCCCCTCCGTGGACAGGGCAAACTTGTCGTAGGCGACATCAGAGCGACACTGGAGGGTCAGGCTCTCGCCAAGGGCCATGACAGGGCCCTGCTGGGCCAGGAGGGAGGGCTTCCTAGACACTCCTGGAGGAACAGAGGAACTGGGGTGGCAGGGCTGGTTCCACCCACATGCTCCCTTTTCCATCCTGGCCCTACAGGTCTCACTGTCACTCACACTCTGTGTCTCTGACCCCAAGCTTCTCCTTGTCACCTGGAATGTCTAAGAACATTTCTGACACATACCACCCCCCCACCCCGACTCCTGGCCTCTGTCTGCCTGATCTGACCTCATCTCACAGTAGCCAGGATGTAGCAGCCACTAGACCCTGGGCCTTCCTGAGTCGGCCCCTTCCAGGTGAGGGTGACCCAGGGCTCCTCCTTCCCTCTAGAGCCTCCCATGGGGTCTCCTTCACTCCTCAGTTCATCCATCAACACAGCATTGTAGGGGCCTCACCATGGTCAGCTGTCAATCAAACTCCTAACAACCCGTCTGGTCCCTAAAATGGTGTAAGAGAAAGTCGTCATTTCCTCACCTGGGATCAGGATGTCCAGAGGATCACTTGGTTCCGACCACACCTGGGGATCATTCCTAAAATAGCCATAACATCTGAATGTCCACCTGTGGCCGGGGTTCACGGGACCCACAGAGAACCGGGCATCGAAATGCCCATCATGTTGTTGCTGTGAGTCCAGGGACCAGGAGTGCTTGTGTTCACCTTCCTGAACCAGAATGAACTTTTCAAATCCCCTCCAAGAGCCACACTGGAGGGTCGCCTTCCCTCCTGATGTCACGACAGGGCTGGGCAGGGCTAGGAGGGTGGGTTTTCCGAGGAATCCTAGGGGAGAAGAAGTCACTGTGTTAAATGGGGATCACACCTTCCATATGATCCCCCCAGGGCTGGTCTGTGGGGTGGGAGACACCCCTGAGAGGAGAATCTGGGGTTGGGATGCCTGAGTGTCCTCTCACCTGTCACCACCAGCTCCAGAGGGTCACTGTAGTGTGATGCGTGAATGCCACTGTAATAGTAACAGCAATATTTTCCTGTGTGATGCCTTGTCATGGAAGGGATGTAGAACTTACTCTTGTTCCCAGGTTTCTGTGTCATCTGCATGTACTGGAACTCAGAGCTTCTCTCTTTCTTCAGATAGTACTCCTGGGCCTCCGGGGTCCCCTGACACCACATGGTCACGGGGCTCCCCAGGGTGATCACATGGCCTGGCTCAGCCCAGAGGGTAGGTTTGGGAGGGGCCCCTGGAAGAAAGTCAGAGCCTGGGATCCACAACATCTTTGGCCCTCAGATCCCTGCTCTCAGCCCAGGACTCTACAGATATCCCCACTGGGCAACCCAGAATTGCTGTTCTCCATCCCCAGCTGCTCATGGGGTTATCCCTGGTCCCAGTGAGGAGAAGGGACCTGGGAAGCTGGAAACAGACTCACCTGACTGTGCTCGGGTCATGGGTCCCAGACTTAGCCCTGGAAAAGAGTTCCCTTGAGATTTGTCCTCTACTCTGAGCAAGTCCTCTTCTCCCTGGTGGCCTCCTGAGCCCCTGTGGTCTCCTCATGGACCAGGGCCTGGCAGTGGGGTGGGATCCCTCCCAGACCAGGGTCTCCCCTCCCCCTCTTCAAATCTCACTGAGGCAGAGCAGGGCTGGGAGTGTCAGGATCATGGTGTCTCCTCCCACTGGTCCCGGCTGTGCTGATGGAGGAGACCGCTGTGCCTGAAAAACAGACAGACACACAGGGTGTGGCCACGCAGAGGCTGGGTCCTCCTTGTCATGGGATTGTCACATCCTTAGGCCCACAGGAAGGGGAACTGGCCTTTCTAGAAGATTGACTTTTGTTTCCCCAGGGCAGGGGCTGGGACTGACTCCAGGCTCTCTGCAGACATTTAACCCAGAAATGGGGTCTCTTCTGACCCCTGGGCACTGTCTGTCTGATCTATCCTCATGTCACCAAGGGCCAGGATATAGCAGCAAATAGACCCAGTGCCTTCCTGTGTCAGTCCCTTCCAGGTGAGGGGGACCGAGGGCTCTTCCTTCCCTCTAGAGCCTCCCATGGGATCCCCTTCACCCTCAGCCCGTTCACCACCACATCCTTGTGGAGGTCCTCACCATGGCCAATTAACTACACAGCCCTGGAGATGCTTCAGAGAAGACGCAGGTTCACACTGCCCAGCAGTGACTCAGTTCAGCAGAGACCCGCTCATCACCTGAGGGTGCAGGTCACTCTGAGCTGCACGTGGCAAAGAGTACAAGGAGACATGCAGAAAATACAAAGAAAAAAACATACTTTTTAGTCCCTAGAGTGTCTTTTCTTTCACCAAATATTTCCTTTCTAGTACTTCCCCTTTTTGTCTTTTTTATCCAGCAGTGCCCATCCCCACCCCCTTGAGAACAAGCCTCTGAGTCCTTCCTGCTTCCTCAGTCCCCTGGTGTCCTTGTCCATCAGGCTGCACTTCAATCCATAGTCAAGGTTTTCAGATCCGTTGATTAGGTTGTTTTCTGATTTGGGGGTGGGCTGGGCAGCTGGTTTCTATTTCATTTCTGATTATCATCCCCTGTGTATGACCTGGGGAAGTAATGACACTTCCACCAGGCTGTTTTCTAGTTTGGGACACGTTGTCATGAACCTCACTCCTCAGAGTGGTTGTTGGGGTCAGTGTTACCTAGGTCATGGGAGGAGCTCAATCATGGTTACTTTATAGACCACGTTCAGACATGAGGGCTTGGGACAATATGGATCCTGCTGTTGAACTCCAGAGTCTGGGTGGACAATTGATGTGTCCACTCCTGAGCCCTTGTCAGTTTCAAATGCCAAGAAATGCTCCTTATGATATTTCTGAAATATATATATGACCACAGGTATGAGAAGAAAAAGAGAAAAAAGATTCCTAAAATTGAGAAGGACCCACATCAAAAAACAGAGTTCACAGCTGAGCAGTTCCTTGGGAACCTCAAGGGGTCACTGTGGAGAGTTTCCCCTCTGTGTGGGACAGAATAGAAGCCTCAGGGTCCTCACAGTCATGGAGGACTCAAGACTCTGGGTAAGCTAGGAGCTGTGGTTCCCCTCCCCTGAATTTGTAAGTAGGCACTGGGACATCTCTGCTCCCTGATCAGCTTCCCTATTCAGCCCTGAGCCACCTCTCCTGTGCATAACCAGATTCACCACAGCGTTGGCTGACAGGGGCGTCTGTCCCAGGTGTGAGTGTGAGAGTGGCATTGGTGACATCTTTGCTGGGTACAACCCTGAGCTGATGCTAAGTTTGGACGACAGGCAGGGGGAGCTTCAGCAATCCCCTTTCTTTCGGCCTGATGCCTGGGACAGCCTGGGAAAGACCCGTTTTGAGAGGTCAGGTGTGTGGGAGGAGAGCTGTCAACAAGAATGGGCAGAAAAGAGTATATTAGAGAAAAGTGGGCAGTTATTGAAAGGAATTATATCCATATTGCGAAGGAAAAATAGTAAATTGAAGCACTTCCATTAAAATTAACTTAATCAAGGATAGGACAGGTGAAATGGTAAATATATAAATTGAAATAAAATATTTACTGAAATTTCCAGAATGCCTTATAGAGAGACGAGAAACTGAACAACAGAAAATATTAAAACACACTTTGGAGGCCGATGTGACAGGATTGCCTGAGTCCATGGTGTGGGACCAACCTTGGTAACTTGGAAAGACCTCTTCTCTTCAATAAATCAGAAAAAATTCGCCAGGCATGGTAGTGCGCACCTGTAGTTCTGGCTACTTGGAGGACTGAGGTAGAAGGATCAACTGAGCTAGTGGGTCGATGCTGGGATGCTGTGAGCATGCTACTGCACTCCAGTCTGGGGAATACATGAGACTCCAACTAAGAGAGAGAGAGAGAGAGAGAGAGAGAGAAAATATTAAAACATACAGAAAATAGAATGAGAAGAGTAAACATATCTGTGATCATTTCAGAATGAGAGAAGTGAGAATGATGTTATACGATACATGAAAAGATAATGGTTGAAATTTCTACAGAAACAATGAAAGAACATGAGTTTAAAAATGAATTTATTCAGACATGGTGGCTCATACCTGTAATCTCAGCACTTGGGGAGGTGGAGGTGAGAAAATTGCTTGATGCAGGGTTCAGGGTTCGAGACCAGTCTGGAAAGTTGGCAAAACCTCCTCTCCACAAAAAAGAAAAAAAAATTAGCTGTGCATGATGGTGTATGCCTGTAGCTGTAGTTACTTGGAAGGCTGAGGCAGAAGGATCGCCTTAGCCCAGCAGGTCGATGCTGTGGTAGCCATGAATGTACCACTGCACTCCAGCCTGGACTGCAGAGTGAGAATCTGACTCTAATTAAACAAACAAACAAACAAACAAACAAAAAACAAACAGACAATCAAGCCAGGAAATAAGAAAATAAAAAACAAAACGGAACAAAAAACCCCCAAACAAACTTAACATTTTGACCATGATACAGTGAAAAAATAGGAGTAAATTAAAAATAATCGTCGTACTACTACAGAAACTGTAAATTACCCTCTAATGAACAAGAATCTCGCTAAACTGGACTTCCCAAGAGCAAAAAAAAGATCCAGAAAATACTGGAGAAATACCATTGTTAGATCCAACCAAGTTTGCTAAGGAATTTCAACACCTCTCTCTTATATATGATCTCACATGGAAAGATATTTGGGTCATTTTGACCACCACCACTAACCATGAGGAGTTCATCAACCAGACTTTTTCCAAACCCCGAGAAATTGCAGTTGAGTTTATCCACACTCAGCCTGGTTAGCGTTCCCTGGCTGCAATAGCCATCCCGGGACAGATCCTAACGGGAATTTTAACTCCTCTGACAAAGAAAAGCAGAATCATTTTATTTTTTTACCTAATATGTGACATGCTAAAGGCCATTATTAAACAAATAAACAAAGATATCGTTAAAGATGTTGCCCAATGGTTTGATGAAAATCCACTGCCTTTTTAGCTTGCATATATGAGGCCCTGCAGTGCTATACTAATTTAAATCCAGATATTCCAGAAGGACAATCCATCTTAGCTGTGCATTTTATTTCCTAGTTGACTCCGGATATTAAATGAAAGCTCCAGATATTGGAGAAAGGACCCCAACCCTCACTGAGCTCTAGACCTGGCATACAAAGTCTTTTTTCATTTTTGTTTTTTGGAGTTGGAGTCTCACTGTGTCACCCAGGCTGGAGTACAGTGGCATGCTCACCGCCACGATAGCCTCTACCTGCTGGGCTCAGGTGATCCTTCCACCTCAGACTTCCAAGTAGCTGTAACTACAACTGTGCGCTACCATGCCTGCATAATTTTTTGATTTATTGTAGAGATGAGGCCTCGCCAAGTTGCCCAGGCTGGTCTCGAATCCTGGGCTTAGGCAGTCCTCACGCCTCGGCCTCCCAAAGTGCTGGGATGACAGGCTTGAGCCACAGTGCCCGGACCACAAAGTCTTTAAAAATTGAAAGGAGGGGCCGACCTCAGTGGCTCAGCCTGTAATCCAAGCACTTTGGAAGGCCAAGGTGAGGGGATTGCCAGAGCCCATGGCTTTGAGACCACATTGGGCAACTTGGAAAGACCTCGTCTCTAAAATAAAATAAAAAATAGCCAGGCATAGTAGCATGTGTCTGTAGTTCCAGCTACTCGAAAGGCTGTGGTTGAAGGATCGCTGGAGCCTAGCAGGTCAATGCTGGGGTGGCCATTAGCTCGTGTGTCACTGCACTCAAGCCTGGGCGAAGGAGTGAGACTTCAACTCAAAAATAAAAAAATTAATCAAAAAGAGGAATGAAGGGAGGACAGGAAAGCTAAAATTCAGGACTTCTAGCTCATAGCCTCAGCCCCAGCTGGAGCTGAGGAAAGGAAAAACCAAATAGAGACTTTATCCCTGGGAGACCTGACAACAATTAGTGTGGACAGCAGCTGCCACCGGGGATCTGTTTCAAGCATCATCAATCCGGTCACCAGGCTAGAGACTACACCAAGCTGCCGCATTCCACCCCATGCCACAAGTGCAGGTAAGTCAGACACTGGGGAGGGAATTGCCATGTTCACCCAGCTGAACAGAGGCACATTCCCCAACCACCAGGACAGCTGCCAAACTATCAAACTAGGGCTTCTTGGGTACCAGCCATGTGCCTGAAGGCCAGGTCAGTCTCAGCTGGACCTGTACGGTGTGCTTCAATCTGACCAATCTGATCGACACACTTCTGGCTCAGTTGCCCCATGCTCCCCTGAGCACTTCATACAGCCATCTGAAGGCAGAGTGAAAATCTCTGTTGCTGGTAGACGTATTTCACTCAGCATCGATCCTGGGGCTACCTGCTCAGCTTTAATTGAATATCATGGTCCCCTCCTTCCTTCTGTTTCCATAGTAGGTGTCGGTGGCATTCGTTCCAAACCCCTAACACACCACCCCTTCCTTGCTTGCTGGGAAATCAAATGTTTCCCTGAAAGGAGGGACCCTGAGACACTTAGAATAAACTTTTACCTCAGCATAACCATTTGCCTCAGCACAGCCATTTTTGCTTAGACTGACTCGCTTTGAATCTAGCACAGGTTAGACACAGATAATTTTTCAATAGCAGGTTTTAGGAACCGTTCAGACGTTCTATTGCTGGCCAAGCTGGCAGCCTACCCCACCCCCTCAGTAAATCCCCATCAGATGCATGACAAGGACAGTTCAACCTTTCCATTCATGGTTTATCTGAGTAATCTCTAAGAAACTTCCAGGTCTCTTAGCTGGCTGAAGCTGTAGAAATGATAATAAGACCACCTTTTAGCTAAAGAGCTTGTGAATGGGATATGTCTGACAGGTCTCTTGCAAGAAAAACCCGTTTCCCGTCTCCTCCCATCTAGTCCACTACTGGAGGGCATGAGATGCTAATGTCTGGTGACATCCAGATCTTAGACTCATGTGGCTACAATCAACTTCAAATAGCCCTGGGCATTCTTTTTGGCCCAGACCCCTCTGGGCCCAAACCTCCTTGAACCCAAATGCCCTTAAATATACCCAGTTCTCAGCTCTTCCAGGTCATATTTGCCTCTGAGTGTTGGCCTGCTT